AGGCCCTCTGGTTTTAGGGATTTTAGCTGTTCTGCTCTGGATTCTCCCCATCTTTGTGGTTTTATCTACCTTTGGTCTTTGATGATGGTGATCTACAGATGGGGTTTTGGTGTGGATGTCCTTTTTGTTGATGTTGATGCTATTCCTTTCTGTTTGTTAGTTTTCCTTCTAACAGTCAGGTCCCTCAGCTGCAGGTCTGTTGGAGTTTGCTGGAGGTCCTCTCCAGGCCCTGTTTGCCTGGATATCACCAGCGGAGGCTTCAGAACAGCAAATATTGCACAACAGCAAATATTGATGCCTGGTCCTTCCTCTGGAAGCTTCATCTCAGAGGGGCACTTGGCTGTATGAGGTGTCAGTCGGCCCCTACTGGGAGATGTCTCCCAGTTAGGCTACACGAGGGTCAGGGACCCACTTGAGGAGGCAGTCTGTCCATTCTCAGAGCTCAAACACCATGCAGGGAGAACCACTGGTCTCTTCAGAGCTGTCAGACAGGGATGTTTAAGTCCGTGGAAGTTTCTGCTGCCTTTTGTTCAGGTACGCCCTGCCCCCGAGGTGGAGTCTATAGAGGCAGGACAGCCTTATTGAACTGCTGTGGGCTCACCCAGTTTGAGCTTCCCAGCCACTTTGTTTACCTACTCAAGCTTCAGCAATGGCAGAGCCCCTCCCCGAGCCAGGCTGCCTCCTAGCGGTTCGATCTCGGACTGCTGTGCTAGCAGTGAGCAAGGCTCTGTGGGCATGGAACCTGCTTAACCAGGCACGGGACATAATCTCCTGGTGTGCCATTTGCTAAGACTGTTGGAAAAGTGCAGTATTTAGGTGGCAGTGTCCTGAATTTCCTGGTACAGTCTGTCACGGCTTCCCTTGGGTCAGAAAGGAAAATCCCAGGACCCCTTGTGCTTCCTGGGTAAGGCGTTGCCCTGCCCTGCTTTGGCTTGCCCTCCATGGGCTGCACCCACTGTCCAACCAGTCTCAATGAGATGAACCAGGTACCTCGGTTGGAAATGCAGAAGTCACCTGTCTTCTGCATCATTCACGCTGGGAGCTGCAGACTGGAGTTCTTCCTATTCAGCCATCTTAGAATAGATCCAGTGTACCTTCATTTTCAATAAATTTCTGCTTTTTTTGCTTTATTCTTTCCTTGCTTTGTTTGTGCATTTTGTCCAATTATTTGTTCAAGATGCCAAGAATCTGGACAGCTTCAACTAGTAACAAGTAGACCATCTAACAATTATCTATTTAACTTTAGTTGTTTGTTCATGAAAACCTAGGCTAAAAAGCATGCTTTGATCTCTTGGTATTATCCTCCTGATAGTCAAAATAGTAGTCTCTCTGCTGCACTGTATTCTCTCAAAAGTTACACATGTTTGCATGAAGTCATCTGTAGAATGTCAAATGGTCTCTCTTTAACTGGAGTGACAGAAACTCAAAGACATATGTGACTATGAAGACTCCATAACCTATGAATAAAGCGATAAAGATAAAAATCCAAAATAATGGAAACAGAGTGGCACAGAGGCCCCGAAGTTTGGTCACACTCTGAGCTATGTGAAAACTTACTAAAAAGAAGAATTTATTCAACATAATTATTGGAGGCCATCATTGTGGACTGCGTTTGTTCACTAGACCAAAACAGACCAAACTAAAATGTGTCACTAATGCTAAATGTGATATAATGAAACTGAAAATTTAAGCAAATAGGTAGATCCTAAAACAGGCCAGGTTTTGGTTTTCTTCTGTAAACAGATTTCAACACAAGGAGGTCCCCTGTATTCTAACCCTTTAAAAATAAACAATAAAAAATAATAACCTGAAGTTCTTGTTTCCACTTTATAAAACTCACACTTCTGCTATTTCACAGTGGGATTTGAGACTAAATAAGTATATTTTTGACGGTAACAGAGTTACGTTACTGTCTAAAGTTTTGGTCTACATCTCAAAATTTAGAAGATGAGCAAAAGAGAGAAATTGCTAAATTAATTATACCCTAAAAGCTGCCCCCTTTTATGTTTAATTTTGGATTTCGGTCAACAGTTCTTTTTTTTTTTTTTTTTTTTGAGATGGAGTCTCGCTCTATCGCCCAAGCTGGAGTGCAGTGGCAGGATCTCTGCTCACTGCAAGCTCTACCTCCTGGGTTCATGCCATTCTCCCGCCTCAGCCTCCCGAGTAGGTGGGACTACAGCCACCCGCCACCACACCCAGCTAATTTTTTGTATTTTTAGTAGAGACGGAGTTTCACCATGTTAGCCAGGATGTTCTCAATCTCCTGACCTCATGATCTGCCCACCTTGGCCTCCCAAAGTGCTGGGATTACAGGCATGAGCCACCACTCCTGGCCACCTCTTTTTTCTTTTTTTTTTACATAGTAAACTGAAACCTAACTGGATATGTAAACAGACTAATCCATTCTTGTACCAACCGCTGTATTTTGGCCAATAAAAGGACATCAACCGTTCAAACCGTATTTTAATAAGACAAATCTCAAGCTGTAATCAATAGAGCTATTTCTGTACCTAACTTTCATTTTCTCTACATCACTTTGAATTTTCTGTCTACAAATCTTTTACCACCATGTGGCTTTGCTGGAGTCTCTCTGAGCCTACCTTGGATCCACAGTCTACCTGATGTGCAAATCACTCTTTGCTCAATTAAACTCTGTTAAATATAATTTCTGTAAAGTTTTTTCCTTTGAAAAGTTTTCAACTTTTTTTCTATGATGAGAAATAAATAATGTGTTGTTGTTCTTTGATTTTCTAAATTCATTTCTTGGCTATTTTCCCAAATTACTCTATGTCCTTTCAAAATGCTTCTTTAATTTTTTTTTTTTTTTTTTTTTTTGACAGTGTCTCCACCACCCTGGCTGGAGTGTGGTGATGTAACCAATTATGGCTCACTGCAGCCTTAAGTTTCCAGGCTCAAGCAATCTTTCTGGCTCAGCTACCCAAGTAGCTGGGACTACCATGATACAAGCCTGGTTAACTTTTTATGAAGACAGGATTTTACTAGATTGTTCAGGCTGCACTTGAACTTTGGGCTCAAGTGATTCTCCCATCTCAGCCTCCCAAAGTGCTAGGATTACAGGTGTGAACCACCATGTGCTTCTGCAATTTCTTGAGAGGATTATTTCCTATAATAAACAGTACTGTATGGGCAAAAATCTAATAGGAATCTGGCTTCTATTTTAGAATTGTCACTCTCCAGGATTTCAAGGGCCTGTGGCAGCTACTTTAGTATTATAGCTTGATCTCTGGAAGTGCATGGGCTTTGGAGTCAGACAGAGTTGATCCTGAGTCTCAGCCCAGCTATTTAGTAGCTGTGGGTCCTTGAACAAGTTTCTTTTTTTTTTTCTTTTTTTTTTTTTTTGAGATGGAGTCTTGCTCTGTCGCCCAGGCTGGAGTGCAGTGGGCGAATCTCAGCTCACTGCAAGCTCCGCCTCCCGGGTTCACACCGTTCTCCTGCCTCAGCCTCCCCAGTAGCTGGGACTACAGGCGCCCGCCACCTCGCCCGGGTAGTTTTTTGTATTTTTTTAGTAGAGACGGAGTTTCACCATGTTAGCCAGGATGGTCTTGATCTCCTGACCTTGTGATCCGCCCGTCTCGGCCTCCCAAAGTGCTGGGATTACAGGCTTGAGCCACTGCACCCGGCCTGAACAAGTTTCTTGATGTGATGTGGAAGACTTTTTCTTTTTTGTTATTGAGATGGAGTTTTGCTCTTGTCCCCCAGGCTAGAGTACAGTGGTGTGATCTCCGCTCACTGCAACCTCCACCTCCTAGGTTCAAGTCATTCTCCTGCCTCAGCCTCCTGAGTAGCTGGGATTACAGGCGCCTGCCACCACTCTCAGCTATTTAGCGTGTGTGTGTGTGTGTTTTTAGTAGAGACAGGGTTTCGCCATGTTGGCCTGACTAGTCTCAAACTCCTGACCTCAGCGATCCACCTGCCTCGGCCTCCCAAAGTGCTGGGATTACAGGTGTGAACCATCATGCCTGGCCAATGTAGAAGACTTCTATAAACCACATAAGAAAAAAGGCAGACTGATACTGATTGCAAAACTTGTAGCAATTTTTCATCCTTCCTATATCCATTGCCAGGTGCTTTTACAGCTGTTTCTATTGAGATATAGAATCTGTTTTTCAAGCCCTAGATCTGACTGACCTGATTTTCTTAGGACAGTAGAAAACTATGAACATGACAGTGTGCTTAGTCTGGGGCTTGAGCTCAAATAGTATTGAATGCTTCTGTTTTTATTTCAGAATTCTGCCATCTCCATGGAAAAAGCCTCTGTTAGCCAGCTGAAGGATAAGATATTATGAGAAAAAGCAAGGTGTCCCTGTTGACAGGCCGAGAAGCAGAAGCTCACCCCCAGAAGCACAGCTACTTAGTCAACAAGCAGCTGATGACATATGTCTGGAGGAGGTCAGCTGAGACCAGAAGAATGGCCCCACTGAGCCCAGCCTAAATGGCTGAGCATTTCAATAATGAGCTAATCAGTTTCGGATAGTTTGTTATGCTTCAATAGCTAACTAATACACGCACCCACTGCAGACAGGATGCCAGGATTTAATGACAGGTTGATTACTAGTTACCTTCTAACAGTGGGCACCCTAAAGGTATTGATTTTTTTTCCCCTGATTTAAAGTTGGATGTCTGGTAAGATCATGTTGATTAATGCAGAAATACAGGTAGACATGTATGAACGTGACTGGTGCTTACCCTCATACAGTCACCCACACCACAGAAGAAATCAGATAACAGCCTGACCATTAGGGTTAAAGTTAAATAGCAAAATAAGTTTGCCTCCAATCTATTTTCTTCATATCTTATTTTCATTTGTGAATGGACGTATAGCATATTATTTATAAATTTATATAACCTTATACACAAGATTAAAGGCAAATACCTCTGGGGGTGGGCCTGGCTCCGCTCAGGGAGGAAGCCCTGCTTGAAAAGTCTGCAAGTCTAGGCGGTCACTCTTTCTTCATTCAGCCCAGCATCTAATCACATCTTCTGTCAATCAGGGCCTGAAGGGACGGATCTTAAACGTCATCCAATCAGGGACGCTGGGCTAGAAACCGTCCAATCAGGCACGCAGCTGGAGCGGAAAGGGCGGCTTCCGGGATATGGCGGGGCCTTTGTCTCTCGCTGCACCCAGAGCTCCAGATCTCGTCGTCACTGCTCTGTGTCCTCTGCTCCTAGAGGCCCAGCCTCTGTGGCCCTGTGACCTGCAGGTATTTGGAGATCCACTGCTAAGACGCCAGGACCCCCCGGAAGCCTAGAAATGGTAAGAGTGCAGGGTCCGACATCCCGAAAGAGGGGAAAGGCTGGTTGGAACAGGCGAGAAGAGGCTGTGGTGGGACTCAGGCCTCCCCGCAGTCAGTTCCACAATCTGCGCCAGGAGTTCTCCTTGCCCAGCTCGGCCTCAGTCCCCTTCAGCCATAAGATGGCGGCTGCGCTGATAGCCGGACCCCAGGCGTCCTGTCTCTTCCCTGGGTAGTGACTGTGCCCTGGCCTGGAGCCCTTTCTGGGCAGCTCTACCCCTGCGGCGCCGCGTCTCTCCTAGATTGTGCAGGGACCACGGGAGGGTCATCGGGGAGAATCCTGACTCGGGGTGCCATTTCATAAATGGGAAGAGCTTTGGTCCATGGGGTTCCCAGTTTCTCTTTTCTCTTTCTATTTTCTTTTCTTTATTTTCTCCTTCCTGCCTTTCTGCCTGCCTGCCTTCCTTCCTTCAGTCTTTTTTTTTTTTTTTTTGAGATGGCGTCTTGATTTGTTGCCCAGGCTGGAGTGCAGTGGCGCCATCTCGGCTCACTGCAACCTCCCCCTCCCGGGCTCATAGAATTCTTCTGCGTCAGCCTCCTGGGTAACAGATTACAGGTGCCCGTCCCCACGCCTGGCTAATTTTTTGTATTTTTAGTAGAGACGGGGTTTCACTGTGTTGGCCAGGCTGGTCTCGAACCACGGCCTCCCAAAGTGCTGGGATTACAGGTGTGAGCCACCATACCCGGCCTCTCTTTTCTTCTATTAAAAATGCGTGGGAGTCTCCGCAAAAATATTGAAGAATTTAATCAAAATGTAGTTCTAAAATTGTGCAGCGCCCAGCTATGGGTTGTAGTTTGTGGTCCATAGGAGGAGCTGGAAGAAAAGACTTATAAGGTGCATGATGCAAAAATCCAAATTCAATAATAGGTTAGGTACAGTTACGCAGTTTCTTAATTTCCATCTTGACCTTACAGATTTGCTGGTTATGTAGTCAGAACTTAATTGGCGGTTTATAGCTGTTTGCTGTTTAAGCCAGAATTTCGTTTCCCCTAATGTAGTAATTTATCAGGGAAAAAAACAACATTTAAGTTAGATTTTTTAAAATAGGAATCCAAGGCCGGGCCTGGTGGCTCACTCCTGTATTCCCAGCACTTTGGGAGGCCAAGGCGGGCAGATCACCTGAGGTTGGGAGTTCGAGACCAGCCTGACACGGAGAAGCCCCGTCTCTACTAAGAATATAAAATTAGCCGGGTGTGGTGGTGCATGCCTGTAATCCCAGACACTCCAGAAGGTGAGGCAGGAGGATCACTTGAACGCTGGAGGCAGAGGTTTCGGTGAACCGAGAACACGCCATTGCGCTCCAGCCTAGGCAACAAAAGCGAAACTCCCTCTCAAAATAATAATAAATAAAAGTAGGAATCCAGGGACTAGAGCCACCTCTAGTTAATTGCCTGCCACTTAACTATTTTCACACTTCACAGGGAACCCATCTGCCCCCTGCACTTTTTACATGTGTCCCAAACAGGGTCTCAAGTCTGCTCCACACCACTCATTCCTCCAGCCTAACTCTGGCTCGCAGTAAAATACCAAACTTCCAATTTTTTTCTGACGATCCCAAATGCCAACTTCTCCTCCCTAATTCACATTATTAACTATTTGTCTTTTAGTGTACTTTTTTGATATCGTAATTTCATTAATCATTTTTTGATAAGGCATTGGATGGCACATTTAAAAAGATTGATTTTCTGTTGTAAATATATCCCATGAGAAAAAAGCAAATAATAATTCTTTTGATATTCTCCAGGCACAAATTTTATGAGAATGTTTTGGGGTCAAGGTTTTTTTTTTTTTTTTTGAATTTTCATGGGGCCATGTGTCCTCAGCCATGCTTTAGTTTTTTCCTGGTCTTGGGTTTCAGTACTGTCTGTGAATAAATCAAGATATCAACCATGGCTGTGTCTGCTGGAGTGTCTAATGAATATTAGTTCCTGGGTCATTTTTTATCATAGGATAACCTGAGGTATGAAGTGGCTTCTCAAGGGAGCAGGTGGATGCCCAGGGGCTGAGATAAATTCCTGGTGTACTCTTCCTTTGAAAAGCTAACCCCTCAAGATGTTAAGATTGTCTTCACTCAACTCAGCTTCCATTTTTTGGAGACACTGTTGATCCGCCAATTAGATGCTAATATTGAGAGAAAAACAAATAATTTCTGCTCCCTGAATTCTCTAATGTATGTAGAAAAAAAAAATAGTATACAAAAAGTAAAGGAGAAAAAAAAAAAAACAAACCTCACCCCAGAGAGATGGTGCAAGAACTTGGAAAGTAAAATGCACTTACGGCACTCACTGGGGCACTCACGGCACTCACTGGACCACCACTGAGAGGGTGGTCATGGAGTATTAAGGGAGCAGGATGGGGTGGGAGAATCTCTAAAGTGATTGGATGGCCTGACTTGACACATGAGTTAGACACATCATCTGTTTTCTAATCAGCCCCTCCCTGGGTTTGTCACCTTGAAAAGATTAGTTCACTTATATGGACTTTAGTTTTTTAACTGTAAATTGATTTTTATTATTAGAGATTGAAAGGTGCAAAAATATTTACAAAGGGCATACAAGTGGTGGGTTTCAAAAAAAATCGAATCACATATTCCTTTGTTAAAAATTCTCATGTACCTTTTTCTTTTTCAGAGTGAATTAGGGAATTTTCTCAGGTGTGTTTTTTATGGCTAGATATTTTCAAACAGACTTCCAAGACTTAGCATTTAGAATGCTACCAAGGAGAGTAAGGAAAGATCTTCCATTTTGACTGTAGAAAATGAACACATTTCCACAATAAAATGTGGTAAATAATTGGTGAGTTACATGGATTCATGAAAACATCAGTTCCTCTTCTTGCAGGGTAAATTTGTAACCGTGAATATTTCTGTTCTTTATCCTGTTGTTTTGATTTCTGAGTTTTATGCTAAATTTTATAAGATGAAACTTGGTACTTCCTAGAAGTGTTTGCATGTGACTAATTGTTTACTACCTGATTTTTAATGGAAAAATATAATAACATATTTATTGTTTGAAAAGAATAGATGTTTTTGCTTTTCTTGTTGCGGTGTGAAATGTAAGCACTGTAAAATTTTCTTTTTGTTTTTGAGACAGAGTTTTTGCTCTTGTTACCCAGGCTGGAGTGCAATGGTGCGATCTCTTCTCGCCGCAACCTCTGCCTCCCGGGTTTAAGTGATTCTCCTGCCTCAGCCTCCTGAGTAGCTGGGATTACAGGCATGTGCCACCACGCCTGGCTAAATTTGTGTTTTAGTATAGACAGGGTTTCCCCCATGTTGGTCAGGTTGGTCCTGAACTCTCGACCTCAGGTGATTTGCCCACCTCGGCCTCTCAAAGTGCTGGGATTACCCGTGTGAGCCACTGTGCCCGGCCACATTTTCTTTTCTCATATGAACGTTGTGTTTGAGTAATTTTCCAGGGTTTTTCAAACACTTAGTTTCAAACACCAAGCGAATGACATGGATATTAAAGCTTGAGCCCAGTGGCTCCAAGCTAAGGCTACTGTTGAGCCTGCAGAAGGAGGTTATTAAAAGCCCAGTTAGTTCTTTCTGGGTAGCCTCCCCTGCAGATGTCCCAGCCTGCTCACCCCAGCCATGGAAGAAGGCTTTATCCTGAGAGACGCTACAGAACCCTGGGAAGCTGGGGACCCACAGGCAGATGCAGTTAAGATTAAGATGGAAGAAAACTGGGGGCATCTTACTGAAGATGAAGTTGTTACTGTTTTGAGGCAGTTTTTAGACTTCAGCCAGACATGGTGGCTCACGCCTGTGTAATCCCAGCACTTTGTGAGGCTAAGGCGGGCAGATCACAAGGTCAGGAGATCGAGACCATCCTGACTAACAACGGTTAAACCCTGTCTCTTCTAAAAATACAAAAAAATTAGCTGGGCATGGTGGCACATGCCTGTAATCCCAGCTACTCGAGAGGCTGAGTCAGGAGAATCACTTGAACCGGGGAGGTGGAGGTTGCAGTGAGCTGAGATTGCGCCACTACACTCCAGCCTGGGTGACAGAGCGAGACTCCGTCTCAAAAAAAAAAATAATAGACTTTGTAAAATAAAAACAAAGTTTGATTTATGTAAAAACAATTTGAGTTCCAAATAAGTATTGCAACAGGAATAAGTATAAACTGTAAGATATTTAAGGACTGCAAAGACAGACAAAGACTTTCCTTCATAGAGAGGAGCTAACAAGGTTAGAAAGATGATGGGAGAATAATGGCAAATGGAGGGTTAAAAAATCAGATTCTAGATCAGAGAATGTTTTACCCTGAAGTCAGAATGTTCTTAGGAGGGATATAAAATGGGGTCATATGTTTATTCAGACTGATGGTAGCTTAAAGTTCAGTAGTCTGTGGGAAGGAAATAAAGTTAAGTAAAATTTGATTAAGAAGTATTTTACTATGACCAGTGAAGACAAATTCAGCTGATTTTTTTTCTTTTTTCTTCTTTTTTTTTTTTTGTTGTTGTTTTTTGAGACAGAGTTTTGCTCTTGTTGCCCAGGCTGGAGTGCAGTGGCACAATCTCAGCTCACTTGAACCCCTCCTGGGTTCAAGTGATTCTCCTGCCTCAGCCTCCCAAGTAACTGGGTCTATAGGTGCCTGCCACCACATCCGGCTAATTTTTTTATTTTTAGTAGAGATGAGGTTTCACCATATTGGCCAGGCTGGTCTCGAACTTCTGACCTCGTGATCTGCCTGCCTTGGCCTCTCAGAGTGCTAGGATTACAGGTGTGAACCACCGCACCTGACCTCTGCATTACTTTTCTAAGGATAATGGGTGTCACCTCCATCCATGTTGCTGCAAAGAACATTATCTTGTTCATTTTTATGGCCACACAGTATTCCATGATGTACATGTACCATATGTATTTTTTAAATTTTTGTTTTATTTTATTTTTCGTGGAGACAGGGTCTCACTCTGTCACCTAGGCTGGAGTGCATTGGCATGATCTTGGCTCAGTATGGC